ATTTCTTCTAATTGTAAGAGCATTCACCTGCAGAAAATTGTCACTTCTAATCTTATTGTAATACCAATACACAACAAAATCAGCACAAAACTTTTACAAATTAAGCTCACAATTATGAATAAAAAGTGAATAAAATTTCAAAAGTCAACCCAAATGTTTTATGAAAGTTATTTAGCATTACCAAGTAGACTTTATGTAGAAATGCAAGGATAGTTCAGGATTTTTCACATCAGTAACTAAAGGAGATAATGTATCCTGTTTTGTTCTAGAAGTACACCATATAGCATCCTAAATTCTTGATTTAAAAATCAAAACTTAGTAAAATATAAGTTGTGTACTTATCTACACCATGATAAATTATATCTACTTGAAATCTAGCAGTTACTAGATATTTTACAGTAGCATATTCATTGACATTGATGTGAGGAGTAGGATGTAAATGCTTCTCAACAAATCTTTTAGTCTCCATTGCCATAATAAAAGACCTGAGTAACTTATAAACAACAGAAATTTCTCCTTGTATCTACTTAGCAAGTAATAAGTAGAAATAATGGGGAGGATAAATCACAGAGTGATGGTAAGAGATTCTGTTATACAAAAATGTATATAGTGGTTCAGAATAGGAAGATTTTAAACTGTAACAGTTTTTTTTTCCAGATTAACCAAATTGTAATGAGTAACAAGTGCAAAATCAATACTACTTTTGAAAAATTATGAAAAAGAAAATTTCCATAATGAGTGTGGTCTTGTCCTATTAGATATTAAAATATAAAGCAACATATTTTAAACAACCTTCTCAAACTGGAATAGACTGAAAGATTAAGGACTTGAATTTAGACCTAAAAATATTTCAAGGTCTATGCAAGAGTTTTCAAAAATGATGGCATTTGATAAAGTGTCTGGCAGTTTGATTGAAAAGATAAAGTTTATGTCATATATAAAAACACAGATAGAAAATTTTGAAAAATTATAGCTAAGCAGTCCAAAAAGAAAATATTGATAATGTAAAGAAATGTGTATTTCTACTAGTAAGATAATTATTAAACTTGTGGAATACTTTCAGCTATGAAGTTGCCAAAAGTAAAGTAAAAAAGTTAGCATTCTGTACTTGTGAAAAATTTCTGGAAGTAGGTATTCTGATAAACTGCTTGTACAGGCCTAAATATTTATACTCTTTTAGGAGGTCAGTTTTTCAGTATGCTTCAGAAATCCCTTAAAATGTGCTTACCTTTTACCATATAGTTCTATTTTGTAGAATTCTAACTTAATGAAATAATCGTGGATATAGCATGTAATTCATATATAAGTGTGTTTAACACAGTATTTTGTTTTGTGTAGTGAAGACTTGGTATAAAAGATCTAATAAATGTTAAGAAAATATAATATATATTAGTATAGTATATTCTATTCTATATATGTATAGTATATGAATATACTATATAGTATATCCATTATGTAATGTAGATGTATAATCACTTAAAAAGTCTATATTATTTGAAGTAGAAAACCATTAGAGAATAGTTTATATACAGCATATATATATATAGATATATATGTATTCCTGTATATTATATGTAATAATTGGTTAGAATTGTATACTCTGGTTTAGATGAGCTTATCTCTCTATATTTTATTTTTCCCATTTTAAAATGCTTTTCTGTTATGAAACATTTTGGGCTGGGGAGATAGCTCAGTGGAATAAGTGTTTCCCTGGAAGTGCAAGGGCCTGAGTTCTAATCCCTGGTTCCGCAAAAAAAAAAGAAAGAAAGAAAAAAAGAAAAGAAAAAAAAAAGAAACATTTTCTGCTTTTTAAATGCTGGTGGCAGATAAGAGATGATATTTAAAATTATATTCATAATTCAAGGAATTATTCTATCTTTGGCAACTAATTTTTATATAAAAATAATTTTATTGAAGAAAGTTTTTTCAAATATATATTTGTAGAGAAAATAACCAATAAATTTTTAGGTCTTGTGTTTGTCTTGCGTTTGTATGGTTATTTAAGATGAATCAGGTCATACTTATCTAATGTCATAAGAAAAATGTTAGTGGAAAGTCAAGTCCATCTGGATGGTCGTCTGCTATACTCATCTTTTTTGTGTGCATGAGGGGATGTTTCTGTGCTTAAAAAAATAAAAATCATACCCTGTGGTATTACTGTTTCTAGGTGCTGTGCAGTGGTCCTACTTATGCATTAGCTATCATATTTGTTGCTAACATACTTTTTCTCCTTGCTTTAACTTCTAGGTCATTTAAAAACAGTAGTGTTAGTTATACTATTTGTTTTTACAGTTGCCTGCTTTTTCACCTTTGAGTGGGGACCTTTTTTAAAAAAATTAATTTTATTGAGAAACAACAATGAGACAGTTTCAAAACAGGTTAGTAGGACAGTTACAATAATTAATATATTGCATATTGTTGTCTTCATAGTAGCTATTCATAGTACAAGGTGCAGACATGATATCCTGTCCAAATACTATTAGTACAAATCTTTCTTCTCATTGAATTAAGAAAAGTAGCTGTATATCTATCCTAACTATTTTGTATATACAGATACAAAATGGTCCTTCATTTATATCGAGTGGGGAACTTTCTTGAGAGTTTTCATCCTCCTATTTTATCCTGAGCTGTTACAGCTACCTAAATATTGTATTACCTCTCAGTGTGAGTTGGCTTCATCGTACTATAGAACCACTTCACTATGTATCTCTTAGAATCAAGGTTAGGGAATAATCGATACCCCTTAATCATCAACAGTGTTTCCAAAAATGCCATGTTTTTGACTTGTCTAAAATAGAGATCTATTTTTCTTAAACTTTTAAAAATTAGTTGGATTGATTGACCGTTGTATTCCATAGAATCAGGTAAGTATGACATCTAAAACTACCTCTTCAGGTTTTCCGCAGAGAGCAAAATAGATTGTCCAGCAGTTGTGTTATGTTGCCCAGAATGCTACAT